TGTGGCGCCCGACTCGGGCGCCGTGAACCAATAAAATAAGACCTACTCTAATTGGTCGCCGTGCGCCACGGCGACTGTGTGACGGTACCCCGTCACCCCCCCCCTCCCCTACGTAAGGTTGAAGCTGCGACGACTTCCAAACAGCTTGGTGAGCTCTTCACAATCGAAAGAGCCGCGACAGCATCAGTACCCACATGGACAGAGACACCGTGGACACCGAGCTCGCGACGTATGAGGAGGTCCTGGAGCGTTGGGCCTTCACAGACTGCAGTGGTTTCGACAACGCGCTCAGTGACAGCGAAATGCGGGCGCTGTTTAGCCGCTGGCGCGCCACACGAAGCAAACCCGACGCTGCGATCGGCAGCGTCACCGCACAGTCCATGGACCGGGCCTAGACGGGTTTCGTGAATCGTTGGAACACGGAGGGGCCACCAGCGTTCCAGCAGAAGCTTTTGCAGCGCGAGGAGCAGCACTCGCGCCTCTCCGTAGGGGCCTTGGCGGCCCAGATTTGCGAGTTGTCATGGGACGCTGATCGAGACTGTTGTTTCGCTCATTATCGCCTCGGATGTCCAAGTTGTCGCGGGTACAGCGTACCGCGACCAAGTTCCGCTGTTTGGGAGCGCATCACAAGCGCCACACCCCTTTCCGAAGCCGAGCGCAGGCTGGTGGGGCTGTTCCAGCGAGCGCTGCACGAGGCTAGGCGCGACGAGGAGTCGCGCCCCGTGGATGGCCGGCCTCGTACGCCTCCACGCAATCCGGAACGTCCGCCAGCAGCACCTCCCGCGGCTCCCAGCTGTCGTCCAGCGAACCGATCCACCGTACCAAGTATCGGCGGGAGTTCGGGATACCCCCGTCGAGTCATCATGGTCAAGAATGACCTCCACGATGTGACGAACGTTACCCTCGCGGTCAAAAAGTGGGGCCGGACCATCACGAAGGAACCGAGCGCGAGTGGGCGATTGCACGTCGGCTGGAACGTCTGGAGCAGCGCGTGGAGCATCTGGAGCGGGAGCACCGAGGCTTGCGACAGGAGATGTGGGCGCCGCGCCGCGCGGCGGCTGATTACCGCTAGGGATCGTCGCAGGATGATAACGGCGTAGCCGACCGACGTAGAAGGTAGGATGTAGCCGCAGTGCAGATGGCAAAGCGAAGTTCTTCGAGTAGTGGTGGAGATAAGTGGCGAGTCCGAGTCACTGCCGAAGCTGTTTCTGGTCCTGCGGAGTTGGCCAAGCACAGATCGCCGCGATTTTCTC